ACCCGCCGCCTCCCCGACCTCCGTGGCCTGGACCCGCTGCGCCCGTCTGGACCTGCTCCTTGCCCGGCTCTTAGGGGCCAGGCACAGAGCAGTGGTCACCCCGAGAAACAGTCATGGCCATCCCCCTGACGCAGAGCCAACGGAGCAGAGTGAGGGGACCGTTCTGAGAAGTGGGGGGGCCCTGGGCCTGCGCCCGGGTTTGCCACATGGCACGCTCAGGGCTGGGAGCGTTTGGGGTGCAGAGTAGGGCCTGTGGGGAGCTGTAGCCCTCTGTGGGGCCTCCCTGGCTCCCCCTTCCCCAGCTCTCCTGCCTGGACACTTGATCCCCTCCCCCCTCCAATTCCCCATAGCTCAGCCTGGAGAAGAGGAATAGGACTTTTCAAAGGGAACTTTACAAAACCGGAGAGGACAGAAGCTGAGGATAGTGATGCTGTACCCCGGGCCATTTCCCTGCCTGCTGTACGAGGCCAGGATGGGTGGGAAGTCGTCACCCTTTCTGCTCAGTCTGGGTCCTGCCTTGAGCTGGAGACACCGTGGGCCACTCCTCTAATGGGCCACCTGTGCCCCTGAGTGAAGCGGCTGCCTGGGAAAGTGGGGAGGGAGGAGCTATGCCAGGACACCCAGAGTCCCCTTTCAGCCTGCTTGCCCATGGCTGTGAGCTCCAGCAGGGTCCGCACATTTCTCAGGCCAGAGACAGGCTGTGCAGCCCGCTTCCCCCCATCCCTTCGGCAGTGCTGTGCCCCCAGTGTGACCGGCAAGAGTCCTTGTCCGAAGCAGGGGAGAGAGACAATAAACAATGACGTATGATCAGAGTAAATTCCATAGTGCGCCAGAATTGTTGGCCACGGTTAAATCAGGTAGGCAGGGTAGGCCATCTACCAGAGAGAGTGACATTCAAGTGGAGACTCCAAGAAAGGGAGGCAGGTTCTGAAGGAGTTTCTCCAGGAATCTAAGAGGAAGAAAACAGAGACAGGAAGAATGGGCGAAATTGTGGGCAAGGCCAGGTCTACAGCCAGAACCTCAAGTCCCTGTCCCACTAAGTTCACAACAGGAGCTGGGCCCCACGGTGAGGTGGTTCTGGGTTGGAGGACACTGAGTATCATGTCTGACTCCAGTGGGAGTCCTGTCCCTCCTGCATCCTGGGGTCCTGCACAGGGTCTGCTCTGAGTGTTGGGACACAGGGCTTTGGGTCTGGCTTGCATGGGGCTGGCCTTCCCTGGCTAGAGCCCCGCTGTGCTTAGGGCCAGCATCCGAATGGCTATGGCCTGGCCATCATTTCCTCACCCCATGAGCTGGAGCCTCCCTGGCCTGATTCAAGCTCCCCCATGCTGGCCAGTGACCCTGTGCAGCCACAGGGCTGCACTCTCAGAGGCTCTTCAGGAGGGCACCCGGGAAGTCCCCCAGCAGGCAGACACGCTGTTCCCTCGTGAAGAGAGCAGTTGGCCCCTTAGGGATTGAATGAGTGTGTGTCTGTGTGTCAGGGCCAAGTGTGTGTGAGATGTGAGTGTATGAGAAAGTTCCCTGGATTGACCTTTAAGGAGGAGGGTCTGTGTGACATGCAGGTTTGGATCCCCAGCACCTAGGACAGTGCCAGGCACTGAAGGGCAGTTGGAGGAAAGCTGGGGGCAGGAGCAGAGCAGAGTCTGAGGAGTGGGTACCTTTCAGTGCTCAGGACCACGGGGTAGGGGGAAAGAGAGGTCTCCAGGGGACCCCTTAGTTGTTCTTGCATAGCCCACATCTGATGGCTGCCCTCCTCCATTCTGAGGCCTCTCCTCCCGCCCAAAGGGACCTGCCAGTTAGATATCCTGGGTGGGTCTCAGGGCTGTCTTCCGGAAGGGGGTGGTATTGCAGGGAGGGTGGCATGTCCGGACTTGGAGGTTATGCAATGGGCCCTGGTCTATGTGAGCAAGAATCCAGGTTGGCCGGGCAGGGGCTTGGGAGGAAGAGGGGCTGGGAGTTGTTCTGTGAAGGCAGAGCTGGAGCTGGGTTTGGGCTTAAAATAGTCACCTCTCAGCTGCTTTGCAGCTTGTCCACAATGACATTTCACGATCCCAAGCTTCTCTTCCGCCTTCCCTTGAAGGAAAACAAAGCTGAAAGTGGAAGTCAGCTGGGCTGCGTGTAGAAGCCTGGTGGGTGGGGAACCCTGCAGATAAACCTGATGCTTGAGTGCCAAAGGCGAGGGGGCTGGGGAGCAAGGCTAAGGGTAACCATGACAAGGGGATAGAACTGGGGATCCCACCCTGGGCCAGCATCCCTGGGTGGGGGCAAAGGATCGTGAAATGGTGAGAAAACAACTCAAAGTGAAGAGAAGGGAATCCAGCCTCAGCCACCTAGGGCTCTGCCTGTAAAGAAGGCAGGCCAGGGCTGTGCGATGGTCAGCCAGCAAGGCTGTATGGGGTGGGCTGAGGTTGTAAAGGGATGGAGAAGGAGGAGGGGGATTAGGGGAGGTCAGCAGAGCAAAAGTGACAGCAGCAGAGAGAGATCTGGGGCCACAGCACTCCCTTTCTGAGGGACTGTCCTTGTATCACCTGCCCTGCAGGGCGCCCTGCAGTCTTCCGCCCAGCCTTATCCTGCTGCAGCTGCAGAGCCTCCTAAAGGCTCCCTGTGCCCAGAGCAGCCTCCCTTTGGCCACATGGGCCTCCCAGGGAGCAAAGCTCAGGGTGGGAGGTGATCGGGACATGATTAGTGCCAGGGCATGTGTATAGATTTCTAGGAACGTTGATGTGATTTCCTCTAAACTGAAAACTCAGGGTATTCCTGTTCTGAGGAAAGAGGGTTGAGGCAGAGCGGAAGGGGACAGGATTATAACATCATGCAGTGGGTTCGCTTGTAGTGGAGGCTCTCTTCCCTGGGGACGGTGGCCCGGGTGGGCCCTGAAGGGTGGGAGGGCCGAGTTGCTGCCAGTGTGGACTGTACTGCGGCAGCAAAGTATCTCATGGATGGACCTCATGGGTCCAACAGCCACCTTAGCCAGCCTCTGACCTACCTGGCCATCAGGTCACCTGATAGGCTCCCCCTGCTGGTCCACAGGCTGAAGCCACAGGAGGCTGGGGAGGTGAGGAGAGCCCGGCACCTGGGGGAGAGAGAAAGAATCAAGGGTGATAGAAAGCAGAAACGTGCTGCCGAGCTGCTTGCCAGCCAAGGTGGTTTTAAGGGGCTGTTTTATTTTTTTCTGGCCCCCTCGCCAAACTGCCCCCGCCCCCACCCCCCTTCCCAACGCATGATGGATGCCCTCAGTGGCCCCGTGTGAGGTCCTGCTGCTGTTCACAGTGTACCATGTGTCTGCATAAACAACCGTGCGTGTATGTGTGTGTGTTGATGTGCCCATGTCGTCCGTCTGCCGCTTCCTCCATCCTTTGAGTTCTTTTCAGTTCTCTTATGATTTGACTGCTGTTCTCTCATCTGAGCTGTTAGATTGACGCTGTGGTCTGGTGCTGTATAAATATTTTTCCTTTTAATTTTGTTTTAACTTCTTCCTTGCCCTCCTTCACCCTCCACACTATATACTACTATGTCATACTTTCTCACATATGTATATATATGTATGCAAAACACCAATCTCTCTCTCTCTCTCTCCATATATAAATATATATATATAAATCTTTTCTTCTTTTGTCATTCAATCAAATTCCAACAACCCAACCAGAGCCAGTCAAATCCACCACAGTCTCGCGCTGAGCTAGGAATAAAGTTCACGTAATCACATGAGAGTGGAGAAAACAGTCCCCCATCCGTAAGTTCAAATCAACTCAAAGTTCACAGTGTGACATGATGGCGTCATGTAACAAGGCTAAGAATCGGTTGCATGACAATTGCCGTCAAGTTTCGTGGAGGTGCTGTGATTGGAGCGTTTTTCTTGGATGTTGTATCAGTTGATGATTGGCCAGTCATGATCACACGTGCATTCTCTTGACTTTTGTGCTGCCACGATCTTTTTTGCTGTGCTCATTTTTGTTTCGTTCTTGGTGCTTGCAGTGGTTTTACTTTCTGTTGTTTGGTTTTTCTTGTTCAGCGTTTTTTATGCTTCTCTAGATGTCACATAGAGAAAAAAACAAAACAAAAGCACAAAAAAATTAGTAAAAATAAAGATGAATTCCTGAATTATCGAACATGGGATCATTTAACTGTGCAAACCATTATCTTTTTCTTAAAAAAAAATAAGGAAAACATCTTAAAAATATGCGTGGTTGATTTACTTGCACTTGAAAATATTGTGATTTTATTTTTTTCTAGAAATTTGGGGGCCTTTTTCAATTGACACTTTCCCTGGGTCTGGTCTTTTTCCAGTTAGGCCATTTTAAATCTCACTTCAAAAGGAAAACCAAAAAAAAAAAAAAAATCTCTATAGTAACAGAATGATAAAAAAAAAAAAATTCTAAACCAAAAAACTAGAGTACAAAGCCAGAGGCCTCTGAGAGAGAGCCTGTTAACAATTGTAAGGTTTGTATTTTAGCCACTTCTGCTAAATTAAATGTGGGCAGGGGACCCGGGGGCCCGGGGTGTCGGGAGGGCTTTTTGGTTGGTTTTGAAAAAGCAAAATGCACCTTTTTGTTTACAACTGAAAAAGGGTCCTTGACAAGTGTTTTTTAATTTTATTATTATTTTATTTGGTGTTGTAATTGTTTAGACTGCTGTGTACGGTTTGCTGTTTGTTGAATCAACAGTGTGAAAACCTGCCAGCATGGATTGATATACGCATGACGTGGGCCCCTCCACCGGGGGCTTTGCAGTTCTAACTCTCTTGGTGTAACCAGTCACCCCCATGTATAAGTGGAAGCTGCTTGCTAGAATGGAGATGAGTCTCATTTGTTAATTCACAGTGATTAAGCATTCTCCTTCTGATTCTAGTCAGATCATGATTTTTTTCTTAAAAGCAAAACAAAATGCCAAAAAGCCACCATTCAAAACGAAATCAAGAACTGAGTTATGTTTGATGATTAAGTCCGTTCTAACTTCTTTTAGGTTCTCCCATCCACCCCTTGAATATCTGAATTTCCTCTAAATTCCCTGGCATGATTGAGAAAAACATTAAGTGTGTGTATATGTGTGTATCTATGCATATACATACACACATATTCATGTATATCCACATATGTGCAGGTGAATATATTCTACACATATATCCAGATATACATATATATATACACGTAGCCTCGCAAATAGTTACTGACCTTGGGAAAGGAGTGGTTGGTGGAAACTGGGCAAGGATTCAGCAAAATTCATGTCATGGATCTTTCTGCCTTTTCCTCAAGTCGGGGAGGAGTGGGGCTGGGCTGCTAGATTGTGCTATCTTGTTTGCTAGGCTTCTGTATACATATTGTATCTGGGATAGACCCCTCAGAGATCAGTTTAATTATGAATTCATATCCCACAGTCCCAAATTCATCCCTTAGACTGAGCCCTCCCCCAATCTAGAACTCTGAAGGAACCTGAATCAAGACCCCTTCCCACAACCTTCACGACTAGACCTCTCAGTGGTTTCTTGCTCTGAAGAGAAGAGTCAATTTCTTCTTTATGTATCATGATCATGACTAATTCTCATCCTGGTCCTTCCCTCCCTCCTGCCACCCCCAGAACCCCCCTCTCCCCCCGCCCCAGGCAGGCTCCTTTTGGTGTTTGGATGCATTTTGTGTTTCCTCTCTGTGCTTAATCAGCCCTGATTTTCTTCATTTTAGGGCAGGATGCTGAACGGGCTACATTAAAAAACAAACCTCTCTCTCTCTCTATTTATAAATGAGAACTGTTGGATGACACCTTTGACATATCAGCCAATACCAAGCAAGCTGAGGACTCCAGACACTCTGTGACTGTAACATTTCTTCAAGGGAAGTATAGCGTCTATGGAGTTCAGAGGGCACGTGTTTGGGGAAAATACATATGACATAAAGAAGAAGAAGATGAAGAAAAATTGAGAAAAAAAACATACAAAAAAGGCAACTTTTAAAACAAAATAACTTGAGACCAGATGGGGAGGCTGAAGGGCTGGGAACTGGAAAGAGACGCTGCGCTGCTTACCGATCCCCGGGGCTTTCCAGCCCGTGGGCGCCTGCGGCAGGCTGGGGCGAGCGGTGTGCGGGGCCTGGTCCCCAGGGGCGGCTGGGAGGCCGCCACGGAGCATCTCTATCTGTCATTCCTTTAGCTATTTAGGGACCAAAGGACCAAACTTTTTATTGCAGATGTGTAGCTCTATGTCAAACAGGGGGAACGGAGGAGCACCTCCTTCCTGCCTCCTGGCTGTTCTCGAAACAGCTTAGAGCGATTCTATGAAAAATATAAGAAAAAAGTAAAAAAAAAAAACACAAAAAACACAAAAACACAAAAAAAGGAAAAATAATGCTTAAATGCTTTTAAAACAGCAAGATAATAGTTCTTTGATACTTCGAGAGGCGCTTTGATTACCCTCATTCAAGTCTTAGACACTTTCCTATGGTTTTCTGTATTATATGTCTGGATGGAGCTGTTAAGAGGAACAAATTGGTGGATATTTGGGGAAAGCAGCAAAAATATTAAAGCTCCTTAACTGTAAAGTGTGAGAAAACGAGGGGAAAAAAGGGACTCACAAGGCAAGAGAATTGTTGTGAAAAGTCTGTAAATGCTTCTAACTCTTCCCCCCTCTTACAAACATAATAGTTGTACAGAATTTTAAAAAGGAGAAGTTTAAAATACCTATATAATAGAAGAAAAATTAGAGGAAAGCAAAAAATAAAAAAATAATAAAAAAGGAAAAAAAAAACTTATAGAAGTTAGCATTACTGCTAAAATCCCAGATGTTGTAGGACTGTACTTTTGTAGAGTTTAGACTGAGCATCAATCCCTTCTCCCCGCGAGTGAGTGCTGTCCGATGATGACACCATTGACCCCGAGGGCCAGGCCGATGGCCCAGACCTACGGGCTCCTGGCTGCCCACCGCCTGGAGGCCGCGCCAGGGCAGGAAGGCCCAGCCGCCCTCACCTCGCTTCGCCGGAGCTGTGCGCTCGTCGCTCTCCGAAAGCCCTGGACCTTTGCTTCACTCGCCTTCCATGCTTGCTCCAGAGACTTTCCGGGCAAGGGGACCTGGGAACTTTCATCTTAAAACAACTAAACAACACACACACACACACACACACACACACACAATACCTTAAACAAGAGAGAGAAAAAAAAACAATCTTTGAAGAATTTCTGAAACTGTTTACAAGGAATTTTGAAAAACAGGGATGTTTAAATGATGCCGGCTCTGTTTTTCTGTAAATAAATTTGCATATTTTGTAGGACTTTTAATTGTAATGATAGAGAAAAAAACAAGGAAAACTATTTAATGAAAGCACGATATTTATCTTTGGTAAATGACTTTAGAGCAGTTAAAAAAAGACATTGCTTAAAAAAAAACTCAGAATCAGAAAAGCGCTGATTTATTTAAGAACGCGTATATTTTAAAGGATAACATATTTATTATAATTTATTTGCGCCATTGGGAAGACTTGCTTTGGTATTTGCCCTGTTACCCTCCTCACTGACGTCAGGTCAGCGTGAGGCCAGGGGGCGTGTGGACCTACCATGTTTTTCCTGTTTTGTTTTAGCTGGTTCCTCTAGGACCTCCTGCCTTTCCTTTCTTTCTATTTTGTTGGTTATTTATTATTTTTAAACTTTTCTTTTTCTTTCTCTTGGCTCCTCCTTTTAGGATGTCCAGATGTTGTAAACAAAACAAAACAAAACCGCTGCAGTTCAGTACAACTGCTCTTTTCACACTCAACTCCCTAAAACTCCTTGTAACCTTCTGTAACTATTGGATGACGCTTTCTCCAGCTTAGCCCTAAATAAAGCACAGTTTAAAAAAAAAACAAAAAACAAAAAAACACAAGGCTCTTTTTCAGTCTGTGCTTCTCAGAGTCTGGCCAGCTGTGCCTCGGCCCAAGGGGCCTGGGTGCGAAAGAAGCAGGTCAGCCGAGTTCTCCGTTCCAGGTGTGGTTGACCGAGAGGAGGATGAAAACAGGGCTGCGATGTGACTGTGTCGGTTCCAGAAGAGAAACCCTCTGTATAAAAACCACACACCCAGTAACTAATGTATGCCCAGCACATGTGAGAGAGAAAAAAAACCACACACCCAGTAACTAATGTATGCCCAGCACATGTGAGAGAGAATACAATTCATTAACCTCGGGGGGATTCAGGATTCCTGGAAAACTATCAAGTCAGTTTGCACACGATCACGGAGCGGTTGGGGACCCTGCAGCTCATCCATCACCCCTGGTTAAGAACCCTGGTTTGCAGTGTTAAGAAAACCCAAGACACAGTCCTCATTAATTTCTGCTTACGCTCTATGGCTCACCTTCCTCTGCCATTATTCTAAACCTTTCATCTCAAACTTAATGAAAAGGAGATACTTGCATAAGGCACCCCCATGACCCACCAAGTCCTTCGGAAGCAATCCCAGCCGCGGGGCCATTTCCAGAGGAGGTACTTCAGTTCCCTCCTGCTTCCCAGGCTGCACAGTGCCCAAGGGCTGGCTCCGGCTTGTTGGGCAGCTGTGCCCCCTGCACAGCGTGGGGGGAGCTGTGGCCTCCCCCAGCCTTACCCAAGGGCAGCCCCAGGCCTCCCTCCAGCCTGTTCCAGGCGGCACTTTCAAAGGCCTTTCTGCTTTTCATCTACCTGCTTTGTACTCTTATCTTCTCTCGCACGTTCTCTCCCTTCTCTCATTTCTGTGTGATGCTCACCCGAAAAGTGTGTACTGAGACCTTTCAGTTCATAGCTGCCCTCTCTTTTCCTGTTCTGAGCTGGGTCCCACCTGCTGCACACACAGCACCAATAGAGCGAGACGCATGTCCCAGGGCTTCCCCACCCACAAGAGTGACCCAAGCCCTCATGGGCAAACCTGAAGCCCCCCTGACATGGGAGTGCAGGGCCAGTGGGGGACTTACCCCCGGGTTGAACCCAAATGAGCATTCTCACCCTGTGAGGCAGATAGGGACATCTGGGCAGTGAGCTGGGGGCCCCACCCCGCCCAAGGTGACAGTATCAGACTTGTGGATGCCATTCCATCTCCCCAAATGGAATCTGCCCCAGATAAACACTCTGAGCCCCCCCTGATGCCCCACCTTCGGCAGACCATGCCCCTGGCACTCAGATCCCAGTCCCTGTTGACTCATGCTGCCAGGGGGTTAAGGAAGGAAAGAATTAACCAGATACCTGAGGCAGGTTCCGGAAGTGGGTCTTCAGCCAGTGCTTTGTAAGCAATAATAGGACTTGGATAAGTGCCTACCTGCCTGTCTCTACTGCCCTCCCTCTGCTTACCTGCCCTCTGCCCCACACAGTCTCTAGTATTCAACACCACCAGATGCTCCGAGGCCTGGCTCCTAGTGGTGGTTGGGGTGGGGGGTGATGGGCAGCGCAGGGAGACTGGACAGCCAGCACTAGCACCCCAGTCCCATCCCTGTCTCCCCAGCTTCACTTCCCTCATGCCAGCCTAACTCCTCATCTCTTCAGCGAACCTCTTGCACCCTCCATGAAGGTCTAACCAGGATTTGCCCAGACCAGGAGAAGGGTGGAGACTACCGCATCAGAGTGAAAAGGGCATGAGCTTTGACGTCAAACTGGGATGCAAATCTTAGGGCTCTGAAATACCTTCAGTGTTACTTTGGAAAAGTCACTTAACCCCTCTGAGCCTCAATTTCCTTATCTCTACAATGGGGATAATAATACGTACACGCATGCCCACAAGAGTTGTGAGGAATAAATAAGATGCAGCCACACACAGCCACATCCCACCCCAAGGATTCTGAGCTATAAATTCCAGTATAGTACAGGCACTCTGAGTGAATAGTTCAAGCCCTGATCCCTCCTCCTTCCTTAGTTCCATTCCGCTGACAATTCACGTTCCAACTGGAGCAAGCTCGAACCTGACACCAGGCCACTTTAAGCCGTTTTCTCCCAAGTCCAGTCAGCCTGTGATGCCCAGAGAATGCCTGTCATGCGGAGCGGCACACCTGTCTCTCACCGCTCACGCTCTTTTCTAGGGACCCCGTGAGCTGATGCCCCTGTGCCCCCTCCTCTCACTTCACCCCTTCTTTTTCCCAGGAGTATTCCCAACACCACTGTCTGCAGCCATCCTCCTCCTGGTTCTTATGGCCTCGGGCTGCATATTGATTTGGTCTTGGCATTTTAAAAATGTTATCTATGTTTTGAATAGGTAACATATTCATATATTTCAAAGTTCAAAAACTATGATAAAGTGTACCATGAACACTCCTCTCCCAGCCCTGAACCCAGCCACCCACTCCGGGTGTGACCACTGTCGGTGTTGACCCTGGGCTTCAGTGTGCAGATGCGCAGACAGGGGTGCAAGGAACTCTGCTATCAACCTCTTTCAATAGGGAGACCCAGCACCAGGCAGTGACGTGCCAGGCTCCCACCACTTCCCCAGGGAGTCCCAGAGCTAAGCCCAGGCCTGGGGCTGCCAGGACCCCACTGGATGAGTAGAGGAATCACCCTCCAGTCACACTCCCCTCAGGGGGGCTCTTCTCCTTGAGGCATGGGTGTAGCTGTCACTTAGAGGGTGCTTGCTCTGGGCTAGACACTGCTAAGAGCGGCCTGATTATAATCTCATCTAATTCCCTGAGGTAGGTGTCATCTTGTTTTTCTCGTGAGGCAACAGCTCAGAGAGGTTAAGTTCTTGCCGAGATGACCCAGGTCAGGTTCAAGGCCAGGTCTGTCTGCATCTTGTCTCCCGTGGTTATAAACTCTCCCACAGCTGCTCTCCGCCAATCCTTCTCCGTGTCCATGTCCCTTCCCTCCTCCATCTCAACAGTTTTTCTTAACAGTTCCAATTTTACCTTTAAGAAATGGCACCAGCTATATTGACTTAGGCACTAGTCCTTTTCTTCCCTTCTTTCCTTGATTTTCTGGGTTGGAACTGAACTACCTAAAGGTGAGTGAGAAGTTACAAATGTGCTGCTAATGAGTCCACGGTTCTCCCTGCCTGGGAGCATCGCTGGCCGTGGGGACAGAGGGAGCATGGAAGGAGAGAGACACAACCCAAAGACCCACACAGCTCTTGTTAGTGAGGAGGGGGAATTCAATGGAAATACATGTAATACTTATTAACATTTTATGCAGCCACTGGAAGTTCAAGAACCCCCTGAGCTGTGTCAGCTCTTTTCCCCAGCACACTAAACCCTGGAGAAAACTGTAAGCTAATTCTTAAGATCCGTGCCAACTGGTTCTCCATCACTCAAATCAAGGGCAATTTTAATCATTTCTGAAGGTCCTGTCCTCCAAGAGAGGTGTGGAGGTTCCTCTGTCCCGGAGTCTTCTGGAATCATCTTTGCCATCACCCCTCTCTCCCTGCCTGCTCCTGGGGCCCAGCTAATGGGACAGGGGCCATGGGCTGGCAGGAATCCAGTGGGCACAAGTGCTGCCAACCTTGTGTCCCTTCCACACTTCCTTTGGGGTCCAAAGAAGGACTTCAGAGCAAGGCAACTGAGGTTCATTTTCATCCTGCATGACCAGCAGGGCATGGGCTCCATGGGCAGCCCCCCAGAACTAACATGAGGGCGCTAGGTTGACCCAACACATCTGCCCCTTGCCCTCCAGTCCTGCTCAGGGCCTTGGATCCCACTGCTGGGGCTTTTTCTTTGGGTTAGACTTGGGCCTCACTTAGTTCTGCTTTTTAATGAAAATTACCTTGGGAGAGGGGGTACAGGTGTTCCCTAACCTGCTCAACCAGAATGTAGAGTGCACAGACCAAGGGTCCTGTGCAAAGGCCTGGGCTGGAGTGATGAGGACAGTGCATGAGCCAGTGCATTATGGGTATTATCTCGAGTCCCAGAAGTAATCCTGAAGGAGCATTACTTTATAGAAGAACAATCAGAGACGGGATGGTAAGTAACTTGCCCACAATCACATTGCAAGAAAGTATTAAAGCCCAGATTAAAAGTCAGCTGTGCCCATTTCCCATCTGAAGTACCCCTATTACAGAATTGTACACCTGAAACCTACATAATTTTATCAACCAATGTCACTGTCACCCCAATACATTCAATAAAAAATAGAAGTTCGCTGACATCAAATCAAAAGACCACTGCAGGCTCACGTGATAGAACTGGGCGGGGCCCAGGAAAGCCCGGAGAGGGAGGCAAGTAGCCCAGACTGGGGAGGGAGGAGGAGACACCTGGGCCGAGTATTAAAGGGCATGCGGGCTACATGGATCCCAAGGGAGGGGGCGTGGAGGAAGAAAGGACCCCAGGCCTTCTGAAGAACCGCAGGATGTCTTAGGTAGGCGGGAATATACTGAGGAGCTCACGGGGGCCTTATTTAAAAACAATCCACTTACTGACTGCCAGGCAGGCCATCTCAGTTAAGCTCCCCAACCACACTGGACCCACTTTACAGACAGGGGTGCTGAAAACCACAGGTCCCTCGGAGCAGCTCCCATGCTCCTACTCACTGCGTCACATGGGAAATGCCTCTTCACTCGAAGCTCTTCCTGGACTCTCTTTTTAAGCCTCAGAGACACACAGTGGGACCACAGGACAGAACGGAGCGGGGCTGTGCTGGGGAGGTGCAGACCTCTGCTTCCTTACTCGCATAGTGAGCCGTGTCCTGGGTCTCAAAGGTTGGGCCCAGCTCCCAGGTGCCTGGAGCTCTCCGCTAAGTGCTGGGGAGGCGAGGGGAAGAGAGAAGGCAGAGGAGGGACACGCCCTCCAAGTCACCTGGATTAGAGGACTCAGCAGTTCTCTTGATTCTGCCTTCAGTCCTGGGCAGAGCCACCTGCTGCCTGGCCCAAGTGCCGGGGCCTGAAGAGGCCTTTGGGCTCCAGGCAAACCCACTTAATCAGGGACTGGGG